ACGACATCAATGTGATACCCAAGCACATATATGATGCATCGTGATACCACTGTAGTATCACCGGCGGACGGTGGCCGGAGAGAGAAGAGATGAGGGATGAAAGTTTTAAAATACAAAAAATATCCTTGCATTAATATTTTAATTCAAAATTGCCAAAATTCAAAATTTTCTAATTTATCCATTGATTTGTGGTTAATATTGGTTCTCACAGTTACCACAAACTAATTAGTTCTCATTTGATTAGACCCCTATATATATACACGATCAAATAAAAACTACCATCATTTCTACAAACCACCTTTATACGTCGATTTCATTGTTTAATCTTATAATTTTTTTTCATGAAAGTGTTTAATCTTGTGAAATTGTTTCTTATAATATACTTTTTTTGATGAATTTGTTTCATATATGGTTATGAAATTGTTTTATATAATATTTAATGAAACTGTTTCATGTATTTCTCTAAAATTAAAATAATGAAGATGATAATATTCATGATTAACACCCTCCACAATAAAAATGGTTAATCAACTTTTCATAATTACAAAAAAATGAACAAAATGAAAAATTATGATTGGTTGAATGAGTTTTACATGGTTTGTACAAATTGAGTGGTTTTTATTTGAACGCTCCTATATATATATATATATATTTGATTAATCTGAATATCGAACTTGATATGTGAGCCAACTAATACCAGGATGACTATCTGCTTTGCAGATAGCCCGGAGTCACCGCATTTGAACCTCAGTAGCTACAAAGAGATTTTTATTCCTTCTTGAATTTGAACCTGAAACCTACTGATACTATATACATATTTAAATATGTAAAAAACCGTATTACGTTTCTCGAAATAAAACTTGTTTTATTTGAATACAATTTGATATTTAAATAAATAAACGAAGAGATATAAGAATTGATGGAAGAAATAAAGAACAATAAAACACGTTAAGCATTGTTTTATAAATTAGAGATATTTTTCACTGAACAATAACAATTATGAATCCACAATATCATCACAGAACAAATTTTCTTTATAGTAATTGCAAGGATGATGTCTGATTGGTTTTAACTTAGACTCGATAGGTTAAAAGTGCATGGAGGTCCCAGGTTCGAATCCAAGAATGAATAAAAAACCCTTTGTGACCACAGATGTTCAAATACGGTGACTCCTGACTACCTGTGAAACGGGTGATCGTTCTGTGAGTAGTTGACTCGTATAACTTGTTGGATATCTAGGTTAATCAGAAAATTGAACAAATTTATCTTATTTTATTTATAATTGTTAATTGTTTTTTATTTACTAGAATGATACTCGCATAATGTAGCGAGATATATTTCGATTTTAATATTTTGTTTTGTTTTTTGTTTATGTCGATATAACACGGTTTCACATGGTTTTAAGAAAACAATAATGTTTTTATTTTTGAATAAGAAAATATCATAAAACTTTGAAAAAGAATATATCGATATTATTATCAAATTAACTATTTAAAATTATATTTTTTTGTATAATTTTTTAATTCAATTTTTTTATTATAATGCAATTTATGTTTCATAATGAAGTAATTTATTTATTGATTCAATAATATAATTATAAAGATAATAATTAAGTCATCTGTTAAAAGTCAATAATTATCATAATTACATTTTAGAGTTTTTATATTTAAAATGAAATATTTATTTTGTATTTAATTATGTTTATCTACATTTAGTTATACAAATTCAAAAATAGAGTTTTAATAAGTTATACTTAAATACAATTTACTTATAATCTTGAATTTTAAATAATATATATTAATTAACAGTACTTCATGCATAAAAAATAAGTTTTACAAGTTTTTATCAAATGGTTTATTATACACTATAGATAAATGCCACATTAACATGAGGAGTGGGGTTATTTTTTTAAATATTATCGAAACAAAAGAACACAGTAACCGAAATGGATTTTGTTGTTCAACGACTTATCCATTACAACATTTACTAAAAAACCATTAATAGATATGATTTTTTTAATTATTTTTAATCAATTTCTTGAATTTAAAAAAAAAATCCAATCCTATCTTTCTTGGAAGCCTTCGTGATATTTTAATTCTCGATAACAATGGAACTTTTGAATAAAAATCAAGAAGATTTTATAAAAATTGAGCATTTTCTACGTAGAAATTATAATTTTTTTATAGTTTATAAAGAAAAAAGTTGTAATTATTTACCTTAACAGATAAATATAATAAAGAAAAAAAAAAAATCTTATGTGTAAGAGTCATGATTTTACTCGCTAAGTGAGAGTTGTGACTCTTATTTGGTTAATGCTTACTATATAAGAAACACTTGTCAACAATCTTTTTTTTGGGTAACCGTGGGTTTCCGAAACAGCTTAAGCGAACCAACTAATCCCCATAACTATCTTGAATGGAGTCATTGCAGATTTGCAGGTGAACCTCTCCATTACGGTGCTAGAATTTTTTTTAAATGGTGGCACGTTTGATTATAAGAAACAAATATCAAAATATTTTTCACAACATCATGATTGGTATGTTGGTTAGTTCATTTCTTTTCATATATGAGGTCTTGTGTTTAAGTATTTTATTGCAATTTTTTTCCAGAAACATAGTAAGTCTGAAATATAAAAGTTAAAAACTAAGAAAATGACACTAACATGATTCAAACCTGGGTCTTGGGTGGAAGAAAAGTCTTGCAAACCAACTCTACAAAGAAAAACTTATGTCCTTATTGTAGTTTCAAAATATATATGATGACACACAACAAGTCGATAAAGTTGCATATTTCACAAACCTAATTTTTTTACACTACGACGGGTGAATGAAATGATGGGACGTTCCACTATTACCACTTAACTGGGTCTGTCTCTGCATCCCTTGAGACTTAACCAACGCGTCACAACCTAAGTGCTTCTTGCCAACAATCTTTCAACGTTATTTTAATGGCCGTAAATCTTTTTCGGTAAGCTAAGCGACTTCTTACCCGGTAAACACTTAACCAGTCAGTGCTTACCGGGTAAAAGACGTTTACCAACAATCTAAGCACAAATGTATAGAACTTTTCAACAAGATAGTGCTTATTCAACTCTCTCAAAATGGAATCTACTCCAAACATATATACCATGGTTCTTTATTTCGACAGGGTACATATATCTTTTCTCCTCAATCAAGATATCCGCTGTTTCGCCCACGAAAGAGTAATTGAATCATCAAAAATTTGTTAGCTCTTATTATGTCAATTTGATGGCCGAAAATATTGTCGTGTAAGCACTTAACTGGTTAGTGCTTGTTGGGTTTTGATGACCGGAAATCTTGTCAGATAAAGTAAATTAGGATGATGACTTTTACCTGACAAACAGTTATACGACTGACCATAAATCTTGAAGATTTGGGTGGATTCAAATTTTAATTTGTGAAAAATAAAAAGAAACAATGAAGATTTGATTCATGTTGATATTCATATTCATATTCATATTCATATTCATGTTTGATATTGATATTGATATTGATGAAGTCAAGAACACACACATGTGGGGGTAGAGAGGAAAAAAGTGAAAAAAATAAGAAAAAAATCAAAGGGGTCACCACCAAAGTGGATTTCAGAATCTCAGCGTATTTTCTTAAAAAATTAAAGTAGATTTCATCAGATTTTCATGATCTTCTACAATGTCATCATCTCTTTGATGGAGACGTGGCTCTCTGTCGTCTCCATTTATATATCAAAATTCCTTTCTCAATTCTTATCCCACCAACCATTTCTCTCTCAAATTCAAATTCATCATGGCAAGGAACGGTTTGTTTTCTCGAAGATGGATGTCACCTGAAACAGATCAGTTTGCCGATGTTCATGTCCTAGCTGTCGATGATAGCCTCGTTGATCGCAAAGTCATTGAACGTTTGCTTAAAATCACCTCTTGTAAAGGTAACTTGTAATTTAAAATTTTCTTATAATCTGTTTCATTTTTTGGTCGGAGAACTCATTTTTTTCGCCGGAAATTCTTACAGTCACGGCCGTTGAAAGCGGTTGGAGAGCTTTGCAATACTTAGGTTTAGATCAGGAGAAGACCTCACCTGATTTCGTTAATGTGAGATTCATTTTCATCTCTAAATTTTCCTATCAAACGAGATACTACCTGTTGTAATATTTAGATCTAACAAGTCTTCAGTTCTTTCCCAATTTTTTAGGAATTGAAGGTGGATCTGATAATCACAGATTACTGTATGCCTGGAATGACTGGCTATGAATTGCTCAAAAAAATCAAGGTTCGTAATTCCTAACATTTCCGATTGAAACTTTTTGCTGAAAATTTCACAGGTATTGATCTTCGTTTTGCTTTGATTGTTCGTTGATTCAGGGATCAGCAACTTTCCGAGAGGTGCCAGTAGTGATCATGTCTTCAGAAAACGTTGTGGCACGGATTGACAGGTACTGTTTTGTGTGATTCTGTACCTTTTTCCTATTTTGAAATTCGGATAAACGACAACTGCTAAAAGAGGATGGATTAAAGATAGATCATTAATCAATTACTTCAATCAATTGCAATTAAGTAGACTTTTTCCATGCTTAATTAATTACATCGTTCATCTCTACTCATACCGCTTCACATGCTTCATAATTTACCTTTGATTCAACCAACTTTTTCCATAAACACCTGCAACCATATTTTGACTTTGATTCTGATTCAATGGATGTTCATTATTAGGAGTAAACCTTTAGGTTTTGATCTGTATTTGACTGAGTTCATTGAGAAATATCACACACTCTACATAAACCTGTGATTCACGAGATGTTTGTGATTGAGAATCTTGAGTTGATTGAATCAAACATTAGGGAAATAGTTTCCAATCATGATTTAAATTTGAATCAACAAATTTCAAAACACATTTCCCTTAAAAGGTTAGAAGATGCCCAAATCAAATTCCTAAATAAGATCATTATTCAATTGTAATTATGTGATCTAATTCATGCTTCATAATTTGATTTTTGATTCACCCTATTACTCGAACGATTACTTGGTGATCTCGTAAAAATTTGTAGGATCATCAAGAATTTGCCTCGACTTGCAAAGATTTGTGATCATTTATCTTATTAGAATTTGGGATCCTGATCATCCAATTCATCATTTCTCTGAAGAAAAAGTAGTCAAAAATATGATTTAAGAAGATACCCAAATCAAATTAATCAAGAGATGCTAATTAAACTTCATAAATTTCGGATTGTAATTGGCTTTGATCGATGAAATTTTAAAGAACGTTTAACCGATGGGGAATTGCACGATGAAATTTTCAGGTGTTTAGAAGAAGGTGCAGAAGATTTCATTGTAAAACCTGTAAAATTATCCGATGTCAAACGATTGAAAGATTACATGTTTGGCGAAAACCGGGGAACAAGCCCTCCTAATAACATCAACAACAAAGAAGAAAAAACAAGTTTCAACAAAAGAAAACTTCAAGAAATGTCCGATACCTCCCCCTCCCCCTCCCCCTCACCCTCACCGTCCCCTTCTCCATCCTCCTCCCCATCACCGCCAACGGTGTCTCCTTCCACCTCCCCATCACCTCCAACGATATCTCCGTCCACCTCCCCATCACCTCCAACGATATCTCCGTCCACCTCCCCATCACTGCCAACGACATCTCCCACGACATCTTCGTCACCACCACAATCGCCATTGTCGTCGTCGTCATCGACACCTCCCTCCTCACCACCCTTTTCACCCTCACAACTAGATTCCCCAACAATGCGACTTAAGGTGACCAACTCCGATCAAGCCTAATATTTTTCAATTTTTACCCCTTGATAATCTCATCTTTTTTATTAATTACATGATAGACAAGGCAAGTATTTGTACATTTAAAAGTTGTTTTTTTTTTCTTTTTTTTATCTTTCTGATGGCTTGTCCCCCTTCTTACCTTTTTGTTCAAGTGAATTCACAAATATTACAATTTTGATATGATTTCTAATTTATTCCTTTTTTTTCCATTCATTTGTTTTTTTTTCTAATTTAACAATACCAGGAACCAATCAGTAAAGATGAAACTTTTGTCGTCTATTTATTAGACTCGTGGACTATACAAAAAATAATAATTTGAAGAATTTTAGCTAGAAAACAATAAAAATTATTAATTCAGTTCAACCCGTACTTTTTTGTTGATGTTATTTTTACGAACTTAAAGCTGTATTGATCTTGCTGATCCAATTAACTGCTGATATTCGTACGTTGTAAGTGTTTATTTCTTATTATCTAAAAGAACGTTATTAGACAGATACAAGTTAAATAAAATTACGATCTAATAGGAAATGTAAGTGCCTTTTTCTAACATATTTTCTTTATTCTAAACATAGTATGATATTGTGGTTTTAATATGAAATATGATATGAATAGCCGTATTGTGGAATATTGGTACATAAAAATGGTATAACGACCCATAATAAAAATTAATAATTTCCAATAACTGAAATTAGAACATTTTATTTCCTTTTGTATTTAACAAGTATTAATTAGGTTTTTTAAGAAATGGGTTATTTTTGTTTTTTTGTAAAGACTTTTAGTTGACAATATGATTTGTTATTATTTAAAAATAAAAATGAAAAGAAAAAGAAAAAGAAAAAGAAAGGGGAAAAGGATGGGTGGAACCAACTCAACAAGATTTAAAGGAGGGGAAATTAATAATTGAGAATTGATTTGATGAAGATATGGTTTTATTTCATGTCCCAATCTTGTCTGGTAAGAAGGAATATTTTTGATTTGGCAAGAGAGAGTTTGGGACACCTTTGTATCATTTTTTTCCTTCTCCCTCCCTCCCTCTCTCTCTCTCTCTCTCTCTCTCTCTCTCTCTCTCTCTCTCTCTCTCCTATATATATATATATATATATATATATATAGGGTTAGGTTCACGTAAGAACAAAGATTTTTCGTGAGACCCGTAAGACCAATTTATGTTCATTGAGCAACTTTAAAAGTTAATGATTTAATGGTCTAAAGTTGCACGATGACAATTTTGTGATTATTGAGAAATTTCGTGGCGTTTATGAATGTTCAGATTGTCAGATTATAGACCTAATCCAGGGGTTGAGAATTGGTCTTACGGGTCTTATAAAAAACCCTTGGTCTCACATGATCTCAAGTGTGTATAGGGTTGGGTTCACGTGAGACCAAAGGTTTTTCGTGAGACCCGTAAGACCAATTCATGTTAATTGATCAACTTTATATGATAACGATCTAATGGTTAAAACTTACAAGGTGGCAATTTTGTAATTATTGAGAAATCTCGTGGCGTTTATAAATGTTCGGATCTGACGGCTGTAAATCTAATCCAAGGGTTGAGAATTGGTCTTACAGGTCTCACAAAAAACATTGGTCTCACATGATCCCAAGATATATATATATATATATATATATATGAGCTTATTATGTAAAATATAATATGTATATAAATATCGAGTCGGGTTCAAATGATAATAAAATTCAAATAAATGAATACGAGAATAAACAAATCACATTGATTATGACACGATTTTAGCCGCGACCTAGGTCGCAGATCAAATCGCCCACACCCTCACGTTGACCATGTAACATTTTAAAATCAAGATTTTAAAATTATTTAAATACTAATCATCTTATTTGTTATTATTGATATGCGTTTTAATAGTTTAAAAGTCTTTTTGAATTTTAAAAGATATATTTATATTATTTTTTTTACGTATTTTCAACTTTTATCCGGTTTAAACTTTATTATAAAAGAAACTACAAGGGATAAAATGTGTAATATTCACTTTATGGTCTTGATTTGAAAGTTGCTTGGAGCATGAAATATGCTTCCCAATTCCAAAGATGCCCTTACACTTAAAAAGACATTTTTATTTATGTGACATGTGTATCTGGTAAATTTTACGTATAATTCTGTCTTTTTGAATCACACATATGCCTAAATCCGATACTTAAGAATAACAAACATACTTAATGACGCTAACGTATCGTGGTTTCTTTTTTATGTTGTCATTAGAAACTTGCCTAAAACGCAAGAACAAGCACCACGGAAACGAATGCCATACTGGACCAAAATATCAGTATCGAAACGGACCTAAAATTTTAAGTGCATGTGGCAATAAAAAAAGCGCACAAAGCATTTAAGACGTTGATAGAGACTATTGATGTCGTTTTAAACGTAAACTCCCGTCTAAATAAAGGTATTACAAAACTGAAGTCTAGTAACGTCTTTTTAACATATTATAAATACATAAAAACAAAATAACAAGCATATTTAATGACGATAATGACCTTATGATTTTTTATCCATGGGGTCAACAAAGAATTGCTTAAAGCACAAAAAGGGGCATCATTAAAGGGATATGGCGAGTGAAACTAAAATAGGCTTCTATTTAAAACCAAAACAATAAAAAAAAGGTACCGAAAGCTTAATTACATATACCTAAAATACCCTTAACCCAAGTTAACCCAAAACACGTCTCCAATATACATAATTATGAAATTTAAAGGTCATGTTCGTCTTTTCGACACATAGTTGAAACACATTCACCTGCCGTTAATTTGGTTGTGGTTAGTTAACATTTGTCAACGACAATTATTGATTCAATCTTATCGACTTTTTAATCAAGATTATGTCATCGTTAATGACAAAAATAACCTTAACCCAAAACACATCTCCAATATGCATAATGTAATATCTCAGTCCAACCATATCAGATATTATCTGTTTTGTTCACACACTTAAACTCACGAATTCAAAACACGTTTAATAAAATAGGTATTTAATCCCTTATAAGACAATATTTGTTCCTTTACCCAACCGATGTGAGATCTAACATATAATCATGAAAATTAAAGGCCATGTTCGTGTTTTCAACACATAGCTGAAACACATTCACCTGCTTTCCATAAATCTTCTTCAGTTAATTTGGTTGTGATTAGTTAACATTCGTCAATGACAATTATGAATTCAATGTCATCGATGTTTTTTATTATCAGAGTCATGTCATGATAAATGACAAAAATACCCTTATGATTCTGTTGAGGGGTGGGGTCAAGTGAAAGTTGGAAAAAGCACAAAGAGGGGGGGTATGATTGGAAGGGTGTAGACATAAACCGGAATAGACCGGTCTGGCTGCCTCCCAAATGTGTCCCAATTCGACAACCTTCCCTTTCCGGTTTAATGCAAAACCAAATCTTGGGTTGGTTGGGTGGCCTAGCTGTCAGATTAACGCCACTAAACGGTGTCGTGGCCCCCTCCAATATGACAACGATGTACCACCCCCATCATTCACTATACCAACCCCACCTATATATTCGTATTTTTTTTTAAAAAATTAATAAAAAATAAATCAATTTTTTCGATCAATTTCATTTTTTAGTCATTTTTGAAGCTAAAATTTTATTTTAGTAAGAGTTTATATAAATGTCTTACACCTCTAACGTATAGCTCAACTGACAAATTGATGAGAAGACTTTTCCCAAATATATAATAGGTTTTGGATTCGATCCCAGGTCCCTTAGCCTCGGGCCGCCGAGTGAGTCAAAAAATACTCATTTATATTGGTGTCCTTGGAGGCAGGTTTCGTGTGGGGAAAATGTCGTACGCATTTGTATAACTCTATTTTTAGATGAAGAAAAGAGGGAAAAAAATCTTTACGTAAATGGGATTTTTACACAAATTTGAGTAAATACTTTTTTTTCTTTTTAATTTAAAAAGCGAGTTTAGCAAATACGTAAGACATTTTCGTAAAGTCCGGCTAAAATAAGAATTTGATTGAAAAATTGGTTAAAAAATGAATTTCGTTGGAGAGATTGACTGTTTTGGTCAGGTTTTTAATAACCTGTATTATATATAATATAAGAATATTAGGTTTATTGGGAATATATATCGTATGAACATATCACTGTTGTAAGTAATATTTGGACATTGTTTCAGACTATGAGCATTACGAAATTTAGTCGGGGATACCTAAATACACACTCGAGATTTCTAGGCAAATTTGGGATGTTATCAGTATATGAATTGAATTGTACAGTTTTATATACGATTGTATTCTTTTTTCAGATTTTATGAAATGATTAATTATATTTAAAAGTAGTGGATGATGATGGAAGGTGTAGATATTCGTATTCTTGAAATCTTTAAATGATTCTATTTTTGGGGACATAAACATTGAAAAATATTGAGACTTTTAGATTGAATTAAGAACCAACCAATTTAAATACACTTAATCCTATTCTAATATCATCTTTCTTTTCACTCATTTTTAACCAATCGCCTTAAAAAAGTTTCATATCTAAATTCGTGTAATTAACTGCAGATAAATATAATTAAATACATAATAAACATCTCATTTTATATATAAAAAATCTAAAATATAATTAGGATAATCGTTGAGTTCTAACAAATTACTTAATTATTATCTTTATAAAATGTTATATTATCAAAACCAAATTATTTCATTATTAAACTTAAATTAAATTATAATAAAAAAATTAAAGAAATTACATAAAAAATGAGAACTTTTAAATAGTTGATTTAATGTTAACATTGATATATAAATATATATATATATATATATATATAGAGAGAGAGAGAGAGAGAGAGAGAGGTTGGTTATTATACAACCTTTGTCATTTGTGCAACCAATACAACTCAATCTCAACCGTCCATTTCATTTGATTAATATGTGATTTTATAGAGGTTTTGATTATTTCTTAATATAAAGTATTAATCATAATTAATGAACCGTATTCATCTTTCATAAATATTTAAATCATAATAAATGAACTCTAATCATTTCCATAACTATTTTAATTTAGTGGGTTGCATTGGTTGTACAAATGCAATAGATTGTATTTCAAATAAACCCTATATATATATATATATTAAATTCTTATGATATCTTTAAATTTATATTTTATTCAAAAATAAAATCAAATTTTTGTTTTCTTAAAACACATAAAATCGCATTATAACATCGACAGAGACAAATAATAAAATAGAACATTAAAATCGTGATGTATCTCGTTGCATTGCACGAGTACCCTTCTAGTATATATATATAAGGTTGGGTTCAGGTGAAAATGAGAGTTATGATAAGAAGGATAAGAAGTAATCTACACTATTAAATCAATCATAATTAAAGAGAACCACTAGATCAACACTAATGAGATATAGTAGATATCCAAGGAGGAATACAAATCATCTTATTGCCATGGAGGTTCAAATGCAATGACTCCGGGCTATCTGCAAAACAGATGGTTGCAGTCGGCTCGCATAACAGGTTGGATATCCAGGTAAATTAAAAAAAAATGAGATACAGTAGATCAATTCTATTTTAAAGTGCAATTCATAAAATGTTTTAGAATTAAAAATGATCAACGGTCCAATTTTAATTCCTATTCCCACATGATACTCGTCTATATGTATAACATAAGTAATTTAAGAAGTATGTTAAATGGAATAGTTGTAACTTGTTACAATAAATTTAACGGGCTGTCAGATGGATTGATTATTTGGTCCTTGTGTTTAGCCCAAAGTAATAAAAAAATGGACCAAACTCGCATTTTGGAATCAAAATGAATTATTCCAAGTTCCAACTTTTTTTTTTTTGACTATAAATATTCATAAAAAAAATATTTATGATATTAATTAAAAAATAAATTTTTTCATAAACAAATGACGATTTCAATTTTTTTTTTAATTAAAAATCATACCAAAAAAGAATTGAAATCGTAAATCATTATCGAAGCAATTTACATCCGTTTAAATCACCTTCGTAACCTTACCATGATAACCAGTTTCGGTTGTTTATATTTTTTTGAGAGTATATAGTAATTATATACGACAAATATAACAAATGAGCCTCTGACCTGTTAAAAGGCTAAAGATACACATACCGCTTATTACAAAGACCTTTTGGTTTCAGTTATTTATGTTTGTTTAAATTTGAAAGTCCAAATTCCTTTGACGAGTTTTTCTTGTTTGTCATCAATTTTTGATATAATTATCATCAATTTTGGTTTCAGTTATTTAGTTGGTTTTAATAATGGAAAAAATACGATTACATATACATACAACCATATTTAATTGGAAATTGGTTAAAATAACCATTTCTCACTCTTAAATTGGTCTTCTAGTCATTTCTCTTTTGAATTTACCCAAATGGCACTACGTTCGTAAGTCTCACGTCCATCACTTGCGGAACTAGCTAAAAGATTTAAAAAAAAATCAAATTGTATACTTAATGTTATTAAAACTGTCAACTAACATATTTGAAGGCATAGTCAACGGTCAGAAGAGGGTCTTTCAAATCATACAACTTCCATCCATGGCTTCAAACCTCCATTTTCAGCCATCAAATTTGCAAATTCAATTCGTATTCCTTTTCTTGTTTTCTGCTCATTCATACCTCCATCATCTTCTCAATCAACTCCTCAATACATCCAAGTCCACTTTCCGACGCCACCTCCGCCACCAGTATCACCGACAGATCATCCAACAAAACGATCGTCAAAGTCATTGCAGCAAGTTCTTTGGTTTTATCAGGGTTGTTGTTCTTGTTACAACAAGGGTTTGCAGAAAAACGATCAAATTGTGGGTTTTGGAGGGACTGATGATGAACAGTTAGGACTCGATGTGATTTGCTTGAAAAAATTGCAAGTTTCAAGATCGATAATGGAGGTAGAAAGTCAAAGTTTGACTTTACTGGTTCTCGTGTTTGGCCAGTTGCAGATTATAATATCGGAAGTGAAAGTGAAACGGTTGTTCATCTTCCAAAGGAAGTGGGAAACGAAAGAGTGATGAAAAGTCGAATTTCGTTGAAATCGCCTCCGGTTGCGGTGGAGAGGAAGAACAATGCTCCACGGGCACCGGCACCACCCAAAAAGTGGTGGTTTGACTTTTTCATCAAGACGACCACCTCCACGAGATGATATAAATGAGAAACAGGCCAAACTCAAGCCTCTACATTGGGATAAACTCAACGCCAATTGGGCTATTCCATGGTGTGGCACAAACTGCAAAGAGCTCAAGGCTCGAGGGCTTTTCGTGAAGCTTCTAGAAGCCATTTTGAAAGCCGGGAATGGCATGAATGTTGAAACGTCGAGAGGGAATGCTCAAGCGTTTAACCTTAATTCTCTTCTAAAACTTTCGGATGTTAAAAGCAGCAATGGAAAGAGTACATTGCTTCATTTCATTGTCGAAGAAGTAAACCGTTCAGAAGGGAAACGCTGCAATACGGAAGAATGTGATGGCAATGGAGGTTGTTTCGTGACAGAAATGGCGAAGTTTCTCGAAGGGGAGAAACGGGAAATTCAAGCGTTGAGAGAAGACGAAGAAAGGATCATCGGAATAGTGAAGAAAACGAATGAGTATTATCGAAAGGAAGCAGTTCGAGTTGTTTTTGTTATAATAAGAGAGTTTCTACTTTCTAGAAATGGTTGATAAGGCTTGTGTTGATATTGCTATTAAACTGCAGAAGACAAGAACCGGCCCTGGATTACCGGAAGCCGGAAAGAAGACGCCAAAGTCGCCGGACTGATCACCGGTGAAGTTTCCGGTATTACCTGCAAATTTCAGTAGTTGTAGTAGTAGTAGTTCAAGTGATTCAGAAGAGAGTTCATAACAATGTGTTCACCGGTTTTGTGTGCCACAGATAAGATGGGTAAATGCGTAAACTATTAATCTTAAATTAAAACCCTAAAACCTTCTACACTTAGCTTACTCATGCAGAAAGAACATGACAGGACAAAACGGGTTAAAATGAATAATTTACCATCAATGAGCTGTTTATTGTTTTTTCAAATATCAAATATCTTTTTAGAACTTCCAAATTTATGTGTTTCTACCGCATGCACCTTTAATGTTTGGTAAAATAAAATTGGAATAAAATGACCAATTTATTCATAATGGTTGTTTATATATTTTGATTAATTTATGTAATTTATTAAATAATAATAATAAGATAAATAGTTTCTATAACAAAATATATCATTATAAAGTTTTCATAACGAACACCAAAATAAAATTTTATTTCATACTTTTTCCTATATTATTTTTTTATTATTACCGTCTAATAAATTACATAAAATATTCATAATATAGAAACCATATAAAAATAATATTTTAAGAAGGATAAAATAAAAGCTTAAAGAATATAAAATACAATAAATAAAATATAAAGAATGAATAAACTACAAAAAAGAGGTGTATTTAATATTTTAAAAGAAAATTAAATTTTATTCAAAGTTATATTGATAAAACACAGCACCAGAAAAGGAGGAGGATATGAATAATGTTTATTGTATGATGTCTCTTAAACTACAAACTGAAGCTAACAATGTACAAAAAAGTGGGATTACACATAATATACTTGGTGGATCCTATTTTTTTTCTTCTAGAAACACCCTCAGGATAAATTCATCTCAAGAACTTGATAAGTTCATCAAATGAAAATACAAATTTACCTAAACAACCCTAACTCAAATTCACCAACAGTAAAAATCTTTCTTTTACCATCTTTCTTCTTCACTTTGCCTACTTTTCTGATGCATCTTCTGATTTTGTGATCTTCAGAAGTTCCCGCTTATCGTCTTGAACCGTAGCCAGAAACGTTCACCTGTGTGAGTCCGGTCGCCTTTGGGTTCCGTTTTTTATGGCCTCCTGTTGTATAAGATTTAGCAGAACTGAAACTACATGAGTGAAGGAATAGTTAACGAAATTTAGCTACCACAAAAAAGGATAACTATGTTACGATTAAAAGAATCGTTAAGGCAAGATTTGTAACACCCCAAAAAACTTCGAATCCAACTTAGAACCATGGTGGAAGTTATTGATTGCCCACAACTTGAGGCTTATAAAGACTCATAGATCCCAGTTTCTATCAATATGGGACGAGTTGTTACAAGAATGCACTCTATATAGAATAAAGATAGTCGTTTTCAAGAAATTCTTGATCAATGGTATCCGTTGTTGCACACGTCTATGTTGGGATTCACCAATAATAACCGAGGAGGTAAGACTAGTGTGCATTCCCTCAAGATCACTAAGGATTTTTCATTTTTCATACTGTTATCTTCAAGATCCTATAGGATGAGCCGAAGGTGGATGCACATGGTTACCAAAAAAAAGGTATGGATTACTATCTTCAAAACAATTAAAGGATTAGTAACATAATAAATTAAAAATTAATAAATAATATCATATAAAACAAATTTATATTAGTAATATTTTACAATTATATAATAATATTCATGATTATTATTATATGATAATAAAAAATAAAAAAAGATAATTAATCATAAATGTAATGATAAGATAGAAGAAAAAGGAGAGAGAAAATATGAAAGTAATTAATAGTGTTGTAATGACGATCGACAAATGTACATATAGCAATAATCGAACGGAATTAGGTACATTTAGCCCACCCTATCTAAACTACCCTTTAATGAAGGGGAACGATATATGAGCTGTGTGGGCCCCAAATCAATGGCAAAATATTTATTTGTAATGACTAAAACCGTGGCCGTGCGATGCAGCAGAATGTAAAGCTTAATCGTAAACCAAAAATTGAGTTGTTTTAAATTTATTTTTTTTAATGATTTTTTTGTTTTTTGGAAATGGATCAATTGTGAGAAGAGTTTCCTAAATATCAACTACTCTGCTTATTTGGTTGATTGACATTATACTCAGGAAGGGGAGCAGAGGGTTTGGAAAACTTTGTTCTTTAATATTTAAACAAGGGAAAAATAAGAATATTTCCTATTTTAAAAAAGGAAAGATTTTATGCACAAAAATCCTAAATGCTTTATAATAATAGTATTTGTAAAAATTTAACAAAGTCTACATGTCAAAAGAGGTATAAGGGGTCCTTTACCAAACACTTATTAGGTAAATGTTTAACGGCAAGAGAAATTACCCCCACTTACCTTATCATATGACATTCTCGACCATCAAAATGGATTGTTGGTAAGCGTCTTAAACCCGGTGAATGCTTATGGGATAGGAGTCTTTTCCTCACTTACTGGGTAAGACTCTTAGGTCCATGTTATGCCTCTTACTGGGTAAGATGCTTGCTCCATGTAATGTCCCTTACCGGGTAAGATTCTTGGTTCTTGTCATGCTCAATTGGTAAGATAAATGATATCAATAAGCGCTTACCCAGTAAGCATTTAGTAAACAGCCCCTAAATCTTTATGAAGAATTAGAGATCTTACCTTTTCTGAAGTGCTTTTTGATACCCCTTGTGCCCGATAAAAACTCGGCATTGGTTTTGCTTTGAAATTTAGGTTCTGCCTAAGCTTTTTCATCTCAGCATCTTTTAACTCCTAAATCCAGTAACAAATGGTCATATGGATGGTCTTTATGTACATACACACACACACACACATATATATATATATATATATATTTATATATATATATATATATATTTATATATACATATAAAGATGATGAAATACAATTCTGCTTGGTTGTTTGGAATTCTACCTTTGATTTTGAACCAAGTTGAGTTCTTTCTGCCTCTCTAGCATTTGATTTTTCCTCCAAGTTCTTGAAGAACTATATCAAAAGTAAAGAGATTTCTTTAATGTGTTGTTGGAAAGAAAAACAAATAACTTGTCATGCTTTCTTGTATGGTAAAGGATACCTCTTTTCGTCTTTCGGCTCTTTCGTTACTTCTCAAATCTACGGAAGATGGTGCCACCTTTTGCCGTCTTTCATCCACATTGACTCCTTTGAGTGACCTATCCCAGAAAACATGTTTTTTAAGTTGCAGCTATCAAACATAAGCTATCTCACTATTGTGTCTGAGAATATGTGGAACCGGAACCCCTAGATTACTCTCCAAAAGAGCACTTGAGAAGAGAAGGAAGGTTCCAACATATATTGAGAAAGGGTCCAAGTCTAAGGGGTTGCTTGGTTGGTTTTCCATCAAGTACTGCATGGATTAAGCTGTCTCTGTGGATTAATCTGTCTGGTATAGATTGAGAAGGTTTTTGATTGGAAGGAGGTTTTTCATAGATGGAAGGTGCATGTTTTTTAATTGGGAGGGGCAGGCTGGAAAAAACTTGACTTTCTGCACATATCATTAAGCCACTGCCAAACAGTCATGCATAACTTCCTGAATAAGCTGCGAGTCCCATTAACCTACTAACAAACGGACCCCAAGTCTAACCAATGACCAAAGGGTCTTTGGCCTAGCGGTATCGTAGTCTTTGGCCTCCTAGGAGGCCAGGGGTTCAAAAATCACCAAGGTGAGGAGGATGTGTGAGTTTATTTGTTGCATTTGCCGTATATAAATAGTATATACTTCAAAAAGAAAAGTCTAACCGATGTGTGGGAGTATGTCGGTAGATTGATCATCTCAAGCTTTAGTGTTGGTGTACTTCTATGAAGGGGTCCACATGAAAAACAAATGAACACAAAAGAGTTGGAATAGAAGTTATTTCTTACCCAGATGATACAGATTTCCATGTTGGTCCTAGTCTACCTCTTGCAGGATTCATTTTTTCTGCTGCCTTCCTTGATCTACATTTGTTCATTTAGTAGAATGATAAATTTCTATGTACAAAACGAGGAAATCTAGTAATGAGGTGAGTTTTTGACTTAAAAACCACATGCTAACAGTGGCTAACTGGAATTTTAGAGTTCAATTTGAAAGAAGTAATTCAGAATTGGCATATGGAAACACTGAGATTGTAGACTACCGTTCATTTTCTTTCTGGGAAGTCATGGAAGTTGAAGCCTTTTGCTCTAATCCAGTTGTTCGTATCTGCCAAAAGATAATGCATATAAATCACATTTAAAAAGCAAGTGTTTGTTATATTAAGAAACATTGTTTTGTAAATTAAACTACCTGTTTGGGCCCACTAGATCTTCCATCAGAAGACGGTAATTGGTTCACTCTGTTTTGAAATGTCTTAAAAGCTCGTTTAACAATGTCTTTGTCTCCCATTTGCTCCATGAATAGAGATCGTCTTCTTGATGAAGTAACAGAAGAAGCCGTATCAGAATTTACAGAACTCATACTCATAGATAAATGGAGAGACTTTGGAGCAACTCGTATGCCTTCCGATACCGAAGGAGTCTTGCTCTTTGATGATGATGGGGCATTAGCCTTCTTTGATGAGGACCTAGCAGCAGGCATGGGCGTAGGAGTTGCTTTTGGTTTTGATAATTTAGTGACAGATGTTCCCGGGGGTTTAGGTATAGGTGAAGATGGTTTCTTCTTTGTCCCAACAAAATTCTTTTCCACTTTAGCTGGATTTACCTAAAAAACCAAATAGGAACGAAGTTAATACAAGAAGATAATCTGAAGTTGAGACACAAAGATGTCCAAATGAATTTTCGTTAATGAATTCAATCAAACTAACCTTTCCTGCCAAGTTTTGAGCTTTCGGTTTTGGAATCTCATGCTCACTTTCTTGAATTTCTTCAATTTCAGAATCCACACGGAAATGCTGTTTTACCAATTTCATACTCTCATTTCCTGCCAAGTTTTGAGCTTTTGGCATTGGTGTCTCTTGCTTGCTTTGTTGAACTTCTTCAATTTCAGAATCCACATGGAAATGCTGTTTTACCAATTTCATACTCTCCTCATTGACCGAAGTGGCTTCTGCTAGCTTATCGGCATTGCTGTATAATGCTATTGGGGATTGAGATGATAACAAATGCTGAAATTCTAAGGCATTGCCCATTTGCATAGATCCATCTACAAAGCTTTCATTATTAACTGAAGTAGTTTGAGACTGATCGCTATCTGGTTTCTCTGCTTGACGTTTTCCAGATCCATCTCGAAAGCTTTCATCTTTAACTGAATTAACTTCTTCTGGGCAATGAGACTGATTGCTATCTAGTTTCTTTTCTAGACCTTTTCCAGATCCATTTCGAAAGCTTTCATCTTTAACTGAAGTAGCTTCTTCTGCGCAATGAGACTGATTGCTATCTGGTTTCTCTTCTTGACCTTTTCCAGATCCCTCCATTGCTAAAGTATCAGATTGCACTTCTTCTTCCTCATAAACATGGGTCTTACTTTCAGTACCATCTTCAAGTTCTTCCTTAATTTCCCCAAAACTGTATTCAGTATGATCATCTGATCTTGAAGGATCAGTTTCTGCTGCTTTTTCTTGATCCAGTAACTCGGCCTCCGCTTTCATAGCTGCAATTTTCTTGTAATGGGCTTCAAAAAAGGCCTTCTTTTGAGCTACAGAACCGGGCGTAGAGCACTTCCCGACTTCCTCCAAGTACTTATTTGGCGAAAAAGTAGACCATTTCTCCCAAGAAAGTGCGTCATTCTCATACTTGCCAAACGAAACAGATACTCCCAGAGAGCTAACTGATTCTCCCATCTGTATATATAATTCAAAGTCCGTAATTGAGACATAACAAAGGAAAAGAAACAGAATGGCAACTCGCAAGAACACAAATCAAGAAAGCTTAAAGATTCTCAAATAATTTTATGAACAATCAAGACAAATCTAAGCAAGAATTGTTTGTGGGAAGATGTTTTAAATAGGAAATAGAACAAATAAAAATGGAAAATTAAGCAAGAATCTGACCTTTCTGAAGTAAATCTAGAGAAATCCGTCAATTTTCGAATCAAGAAAAAGCATAAACCCTAATCGAGTAATTGCAGAAGCAAGAAATTTGAAGTGATGGGTCAAGTTCAATTAGACAAAAAGGGAAGAAATTGTACCTTATTTTCCATATTTTGTGCTTCCACCATAGATTCACCCATCAAAATCCTTCAACAAGAGGTGGAGATAAGCACAGAGAAAGAGGTAACAAACCCTCTAGATAGAAGCATGGGCTATAGATCAAAGACGATAAATAAGACTAAAAGCACATCAGCTTTCCAAAGAAATTATCACAAGGGAGACAAGAAGAAGGATTGAACACTGAATCAAACAAGAAATGTGCATGTGGAGTGTTTTCTATTTATCTATCCAATTTCCTAGAGTTATGAAAATTTGTTGTCCTTTTCTGATCCTTATGGACCTCCTAAAGCAGATAAAATAAAGAGAAAACCTAATCATGACCCCAAAAAGAAACCCATGAAAGGTAAACAATAGATATACAAATTATATCCACATGATCACAAAGCATGTTTCATCTTTTTACTACCAACAAAGTAATTTCAGAGAAAAACAAAAAGGAAGTGGTAAAGGCATTTTAACAAACACTTGGTGGGCATCACAGACCAGTCACAACCGCAAAGATTCCACCAAAATGCTTGGTGGATTTCCAAAAGATTTAGCTAAAAAAAAGATTCAACCAACAATTATTTCATGATAATTTACACAATTATTTTTGCTTTTTTTTTTGTAAAACGTAGATAGAAGTTATGATCCTCTGATAGTAATGAAGTAAACAAAAACAAACAGATGCAGAAGATAAAGATTAACGGACCAGAAGTTAGCAAAACACTCGAGTGTTCTTGACTACAAATTCCTAAATATTTTGACCCACTCGAAAAGATAAATTTAATGTCAGATCAGATCAGATCAGCCCTTAAAATAGAGCGGATGTGGGGCTGAGACGGGAACAGCGACAGATCTCTTGCCAGTGGTTTACCAATGAATAATTGAACCAATTTAATACGTATTAATGTGTGTTTGTAATTTTGTATACAAACTGCAAACATTCATATTAAGATAAGGGGTCATTTACCCAAACTTTTAGGCACTTATAAGTAGAGTTAACGTTGTAATTTACTTTATCCTATAAGATTGTAGTCCATTAAACAGTATTGTATGCAATAATTTACCCGGTAAGTATTTACTGGGTAAAAGTTGTCATCCTCACTTACTGGGTAAGACTCTCTATCATTATTATTGTCCTTACCGGATAAGATTTTCGGCCCTCGTCATGTTTATCCAGTAAGGTAAATGACCCGGTAAAACCTTACCAGGTAGGTGTTTAATAAACATCCCCTAAATTAATACAAATAGTCATTTTCAGTACCAAATTCATTTTTTAGTGATTTTCTCCGAAAATTTCTAAATAATTTACCACCTTCACAAGTAACTATTCCTCAGCTTCCAAAGAAGCAAAAAGTAAAAAAAAAATTCACTAACTTGTGGATTTACGTAAAAAGTGAATTTTTTTTTCAATTTCCACCAAACTTGTGGAGGTGTTACTGGGCGAAAAGTGATTTTTCTTTTTTGTCTTTTAGCTCCTCCGCAAGTTGAGGATGCCCACTTTGTGGAGGTTGTGATGTTTTGGAAATCTTCAGACAGAAATGGTTAAATGATGAATTTGGTCTCTAAAAATGGCTATTTCCCTTGATTTCCTGATATACAATTAGCGTACTAGAAACATCTTCAACAGTTGTGTTATATTTTTTATATGAAATATTGAAAATTAAAATCTTTAAAAAAAAGGGGCAAATTGCATGAAAAAATAACGTACTTTAATTTGATTCCTATTTTGAGTGACGTACTTTCAAAACTTCCATTTTGGTATCAAAGATGTAAAGTTTTAAATATTTAATCACCCGGATAACCGATTACCGGTTGTCGGGATGCTTAAATGTTTAAAACTTTACATCTTAGACACCAAAATTGAAGTTTCGAAAGTACATTACTTAAAATAGCAATCAAGTTAAAGTACGTTACTTTTCCATGCAATTTGCCCTAAAAATATATAACTAGGGCTGGTTTCCGATGAGAATGAAAGTTATATTGAAAATGGTGAAAAAAATCTTCAAACAATTATGTTATTTGGGAAAATTTTGGATATTTCAAAATTTTTTGCACTAACAGCTATATTAAACTTTTCTTTACAACAGGAAAAAAAATGAAGAAATCTCAAATTTAACAAAAGAGATGGAACGTATTGCATGTCTATTGGAGGGAGGGACCATCTTTTAAGAACCCATGAAATTGTGATAATCATGAAAACTAATGCATCATGTGCTATTTTATATGATTTTTTTTCATCTGAAGCTAAACTTTAGAATATCAATTAACATATATTTGTTTCGTTGTGTTTGTTTTATAATGTGAATCTTTTTAACATGTTTGTGAATTAAAAGTTACACGTGAAACTTTTTCACATATGAAGCAAACATATAGTGAAATGAGTATACGTTCATTAATAATTAAATGCTATTTTTAGATGAGAAAAAATCATATAAAATAATATCTTGATGTTTCTTGCGGTTATTATAATATATAGAGTTCTCAAATGATTAAACTCCTTATGTAACATTAATAGCATATTACTTGTTATATAATGGTTTCAAGCCGGCTGGTCAAGTTAGTTATTTGTCCTTGTTACCACAATTAACAGCAGTTTCAACAAAAACTTTTGAGGGTTCGTTTGGTTTTACCAAATGTTTTTTTTTTTGTTGTGTATTTAGATATTTTGATCTGTAAAATTCGGAATAGAATCACAAGGGTGGTATCTGATTGGTTTTTAGCTTGAGCTCCAAAGGTCAAGAGTGCTTGGAGGTCTCGTGTACAAATCTAAGGAGTAATAAAAATTCTCTTGTGGTCACGAAGGTTCAAATGCGGTGACTTTGGGCTACCCGCAAAGCATGTGGTCGCCCTGGGATTAGTCAGCTTGCATAGCGGGTTGAATATCCAGGTTAATAAAAAAAATCGGAATAGAATTGAATTCCATTATTTATATATGATTTACAAAAAATAATCATAAAAAATTACAAAAATAATTAAATTAGCATTATATTAATTGCTTGTTACAAAATAAGTGTAAATAATTGATAAGAAATTTGACATAAATTTTCCGATAATACGCACAATATCCTACACCAAAATGTTTCGTAATCAGTTTCAAAATACTACCAAACTTGTAAGTCGTATACTTCTTTCGTTTCAAAATAAAATTCAATTATTTTTATTCAATTCTAAACTATATTATAAAGCATTTAGCAAAAACTCTTAAAAAATCATTTTTTATACATAAAGTACTGTTTGTTGATACATATTACTTAAAATTCAAGGTTACAAATAAATTATGAATAAGTACAACTTATTGAAGCTACATGCTTGAATTCGTGTAACTAGCTATAAATAAACATAATCAAATACAGAATAAATATTTCATTATAAATATAAAAAATCTAAAATATAATTAGGATAGTCATTAAGTTCTAACAGAATCCTTAATTATTATCTTTATAAAAATTATATTAATAAATCAAAAATAAATTACTTCGTTATTAATCCTAAATTAAATTATAATAAAAAATTGAATTAAAGAAATTATAAAAAAACAAAAACTTTTAAATAGTTAATTTGATACTAATATCAATATTTTATGATATCTTTAAATTTACATTTTATTCAAAAATAAAACATTATCGTTTTCTCAAAACCCCATAAAACCGTTTTATAACATCGAAAGAGACAAAATAAAATAAAACATTAAAATCAAGATGTATCTCACTGCATTGTACGAATACCCTTTTAGTTATTCCAAAATAAACATAACATTTTAATAAGCTTTAGATCCAAAATTCTCATTTTAAGAAAAATTGTCAATTGGATTTGGATGGGTTCCCTAATTATTAACCATGGCCCATGGGCCATAGCCATTAGATGAATGTGGGCTAGGACCTATTTGGACTTTAGAGGACTTTTATGGGCCTACATATAAACCATTGGACTATTGTTTGCCTTCAAAGCTACATTACCTTCCATTTCCAACATGATTAAATGGATCATATTTTCCATTAAATTTAAGGTCAAAATTCAAAATCACACCAATCTATAACTTGCCTTATATTTTTCCTTATTTAATGCTCCCAAGTTACTCAAACTCCACTTCCAAGTTTGGATATATTCCCTTCAAATCCCTCCTATTGAATATCAATCTCAAGATCACTAAAGATTTCTTTAACATGAAAACGTGTTATCTGTTACTGTGTTATTTTATTGTTTTAGTAATTCAAGTCAAATCAGACCCTGATCCACTTCAAGATTACTGCATAGCAGATACTCTTTTTTCGCAGTCCTTTTTTGTTAATGGGGCTCCTTGTATAAACCCTGCCGACACTGCACCTTCTCATTTTACAACCTCTGCGTTGTCCAAGCCTGGTAATACTGCAACCAATCCGTTGGGGTTCAATGTCACGGTTACTAATATTCGAAATCTTCCCGGCATGAACACTCTGGGGTTAACGATGGCTCGAGTTGATATAGCTGGAAACGGGCTCGTACCACCTCACACGCATCCGCGTGCTTCTGAAGTAACCATTCTTATAAAGGGTTCTCTTCTTGTGGGATTTGTTGACACCTCAAACCGTCTTTTTACGCAACAGTTGCGTGAGGGTGATTCGTTTGTTTTCCCCCAAGGTTTGATTCACTTTTTGTATAATCTTGATTCGAAAGCTTCGGCCTTGGCAATTTCAGGGCTTACCAGCCAAAATCCTGGTGCACAACTTGCGTCAGCTGCTACATTTACCACAAAACCAAACATTCCTGATGAAGTACTGAAGAAGGCATTTCAGATCAACGGCCAAGATGTGTCAAGGATACGTAAAAACTTGGGTGGTTAACATATATCACTATATTTGATGGCCAAAAAACATAAAGTTGACCATTCATGTGTGATGTTTATATGTGGGTTCATATTCTAATGTTTTCTTTTATAGGCTATTTTCTTTTTTTATTTTAATAAAAGTTTGATTTGTCTACCTCATTTGTATGTTGTAATAATTTTTAATTTTTAATATTTTTTTGGTAATATTTTTATAAATTGATCTTGTTAGCTATTAGTAGTTTATATTTATTAAAAAAAACTAAAATATGATTATTAAAAAAAATATAATATAATTCCCTTTTTTTCCAGTTTTACTCTTGTATAAAAAACAAAAAGTATTGTATTTCAATAAATTATTCTTCTAATTGTTGAAGGATATTTATGTAAAAAATAATGTGCATTCAATGACATCGGTTACAAATAGTAGAAATGGTATATGTTCAATTGTGTTCATAATTGACACAAATATTCACATATATGTCCAATTTGTATTCATAATTGCTACAAGTGTTCATATATGTTCAATTTGTGTTCATAATTGCCACTAGTGTTCATATATATGTTCAATTTGTGTTTATATTTACCACAAGTATTCATATATGTCAATTTGTGTTCATATGGGTGTATACATGTCAATTTGTGTTCATAATTACCAAAACATTCGCTTTGATTATTTATTTCACTTCCCGATCTCGAACTCTGACTGTTACCTTAAACAATTTTAACCTTCTTAATATTGTCGTATTGTTTTCCAATATCTTTATTCATAATTGTCTGAACGATAATAAACATTTTACTAACGGATCTCCTCCACCTATCACAAATTTATAAATATTAAAAATTGAAGATTAATATTAAAAATTGAAAAAATCACAAGATCAATATTAAAAATGCAAATTTATGGGATTTTATAGATCTTGTGACTCCCAATTAATGATATAGAAGTTACAAAAAGAAAGAACATTAACCATATACCCTTAACATTAAATTCTTAGATAGAGAATAACCTAATCATAGACGGAATTATGATTGGTCTAAAAGGTTTATAAAATTAACATAATAATTTGGGTTAACATTCAAACTAAGCGCGCGCTCTCTCTCTCTCTCTCTCTCTCTCTCTATATATATATATATATATAACTATGCATCGGTAGATTCAGAATAACTGATGGCTTGTTTTTGTTTTTATTGTTTTTTTCAAATTGAGTTTCTATGTGACATTCTCATTACCTTGATCAATCTAATATAAATCACACTAATCATATACTATGATAAAAGAAATTACTTAAATGATATACTGATGAGAAGTGAAAACCTTTCTGTCAATTCTCTGGACTATTGCTTAGGGTGTATACTTTCAGAAAACACAGTTTCACATTACTTTAAAGCGATTTTTGAAACTCTTAAATGTTTTAAATGAGTTAAAAGCAAAATTACGAATCATTTACAAAAAAAAAATCAAAGATCAAGTTAAGATTTCCCACATACAAACAAACCATTTGTCGTCAAAAGAACATTTTTTACCATTATTTTGTATTTTATCATCTCACTACAAATTCTGGTAAACACCAATAAACAACACTCTTGGTTCTCTTATGATATACTTGAACATACTAAGAGTTAGAGTTTGACATCCATGGCATGAGATGAGAGTCATAACTTCTATTGCGATTGGATTCGTTGATGGAATCAAGCTCTTAATCCAACCACCTAGAGACCGCATTATACCTGATCTTTTTCTTTCATAATCCTCTGGACGAGACAGTGTGAGCTAGCTCCGGGTTACTGGTTACACGGTTTAAAAAAAAAACTAAAATGTAAATAGTTATCTTTAATCATAGGGTGAGGTTAAAATACTCATAAAAGCCATGATTCATGGAACACCCATTTATTGTTTATTTATGGTTATTAAATATGGGTTGTTACATCCATTTTTATAAAATAATGACGAAAATAATAGTATGGTGGGTCAAAGTGATATTATCTTATATTTGAGGGGTCAAAATGAAATTATAGGTAAAGTATGATTCCTTTTTCATTTCTCACCCTCCACTTTGCTTTAAAAATGATCCAATCCTTGGATTCCATATACCATGCTTGTAACATTAGAAGTATCCATTCCCCTTTGCTTCAAGCAATACTATGATCACATATTCCATTGTAATGTGATTCCATGGAATCATCAACTACTATTTCTTATAATCATGGTTGTTCAAACCAGTTTGAGCGTATCTCGACTAATCTTATCAGATGGTGAAGTTGACAAATTTTCAGTAGTTGTGAGGGGACCCAATCTGAATCTGATACCGATATAAATCAGAGAGTAAAGAAAAACTGATCAGTTGAGCTACCAGCCAATTGCCATTGACATCACCATTTGTAGAATGTGATGAACTCCTCCTTTTGGTTAACTTTTTAGTAAAGATTACATCTGAATTAGTCCAACCAGTTATATAGTATTATCCACATGTCTCGGTTATTTAATACTGTTAATCATTTGGAATTTATGCTTGAGGTATTTTGTAAAGAACTTCCCCATCTCTTGAGGTAACTTAAAAGTGGTATATACAGATATTATATCGAGTTTGTTCTTTTCAGATCTGTTTAATTATTTAAATTTAAATTTTCTTGAAACAACGTATTAATTTAAACCTAATTTAATAGCCTAAAAATAAAAAAATCACAGACATACATTTTTCGTTTTGTTTGGATTCGTCGGTAGACAAACATCGTTATTTTTCATCTTCTTATTTATAATTATAACGTAACTACCGTATTGACATTGAAGTTAAAACTAATACAGTTGACAATAACAAATAATTATTACTATAAATAAACTTTAATTAATAACGAACCAATAAAATTAGAGATGTCATGTTGTGAGCTCTTGACAACCGTGCCACATGAACCTTGATCATTTCATATTTTATCATTTTTTATTGATTATTTTTCCCAATTTTTAGGGATTTTATTGAATTATTCAACCAATATTTTTATTTTTTATAAAAATAATAAAAGTTACCAAGTAATGGTATGGGTTTTAATAGTTTGTTTAGTTAATTATGGTAATGCATTCTTTTTACATATACATAGCACGTTTCAAATGTAAGTCAATCAATTAAGATATTTATGAAATTAATAAAAATTTATTTATTGTGATTTGAATATTTATGAAAGATGATTATGGTTCATCAATTATGATCAATAATTTATATTAGAAAAAATATAAACTTTTATGAAATCACATATTCATCAAATTAAATGGACGGTTGAGATTGAGTTGTATTCGTTGTACAAATGTAAAGGGTTGCATAATAATTCACCTATATATAGATAGACTTGGGATCATGTGAGACAAATTTGTTTTCGTGAGACACATGAGACAATTTTAACTTCATAATATTTTGCTGTAAAGTTTCAAGTGTAAAAATGTTGTCTCACGTGTCTCACGAAAACAACTCAATCTCACGTGAACCCAACCCTATATATATATATATATATATATATAGAGAGAGAGAGAGAGAGAGAGAGAGTTTGTTTCAAATACAACCCATCGCATTTGTACAACCAATGCAACCCAATAAATTGAGATATTTATGAAAATGATGAGAGTTCATTTATTATGATTGAATATTTATGAAATATGAATATGGTTCATTAATTATGATCAATACTTTATGTTAGGAACAATCAAAACTTCTATGAAATCACATATTAATCAAATAAAATGGACGGTTGAGATTGAGTTGTATTGGTTGCACAAATGTCAAGGGTTGTATAATAACCAACCTCCCGTAAAACCAATTCTCAACTCTTGGATTAGATTTACAATCTGAACATTTATAATTATAAAATTGTAACAAGACTTCTCAATAATCACAAAATTGTCACCGTACAACTTTATACCATTAGATCATTAGCTTATAAAGTTGATCAATGACCATAAATTGGTCTTACGGGTCTCAAAAAAAACATTTGGTCTCACGTGAATCCAACTATATATATATATATATATATATATATATTTGTATTGTTTATTTATGTTTTCCATTTTGATTGGTATAAAATAAATAAATTAATAAAGGAAATTAAAGAATTCGTTTGACCCATTTCATTTAATTGCTTGAAGGGTAAGACTTTTAAAGTAATGCTATGTTGGGGAGTGCCCATCTTCAAGTCAATGGCCTTCAGAAAAAAAAAAAAATATATATATATATATATATATATATATATATAAAATTAGGTTTACGTGAGACCAATGGTTTTTCGTGAAACTTGTAAGACCATTTTATATTCATTGATCAACTTTTTAAGTTAATGATCTAGTGATCTAAATTGCGAGGTGGCAATTTTGTGATTACTGAGAAGTCTCGTGGCGTTTATAAATGTTCAGATTGTCAGATTATAAATCTAATCCAAAGGTTGAGAATTGGTCTTACGGGTCTCATGAAAAACCATTGGTCTCACATTATCTCAAATATATATATATATATATATATATATATATATATATATATATATGATATGTGCATCTTCCATTAATGTGGTC